ACAGAACAAATGGCATTGACGACGAGATTTCACAAATGCATAGTTCGTGCGGCACACGTGGAGGTAGCATCAACATTGCATAACCATGGAAACAGAAATTATACTGAATGCGGACAAATAAACATAGTTACTAGATAGGTTTATTAAGACTTGGTATTATAATACATGTACTCAGTATCGCCTCTGAGGCAAATCAGACGCATGCATGGGGACAAGACGGGTGGGTATGAATATCATCAGACAAAGAGAACAGAGTCTGAAATTCATCGTGATCTCTTCCAAGTGGAACGCTCGCTGGCCGACTTTTAATTGCTACAGCTGAAGTGTAACACATGGGCAAAACAATAACAGATCACATGCTGTATACTATTTGTCTAAGTTGGTTTACCAGGGGGTTTCTTGTTCCAAGCTTTCGCTTCATTCATGCTTCAGTTCAATTTCATACATAAACACCATTTACGCAAACATATCTTGAACGATGCCAGAGTCTCCTTTTACATAACCAATTAAATTACTTCTACTTGTTTTTTCATATCTTCCTCAATCGAGTGACATTTCTCTTCCACGGATCACAGTCAAAAATCACTTAGTGAATTTTTCTGAGTGCTCACATTATAGAGGTGAAATATCAATTCATCACATAGCATCAGGAGTGTGACTGTACCTTTTACCCATAATGCATTGCTCTACATGTTCTGAAGATGTCAGGATTAAATAATTCTTTAAACACAAGGCTTAAGCCTGATAATCAGATTTGTTATAATGATTGACATGTTGTTGGTATGGCAACCACAAACATGGCCTGCAGAAAACATGTTTTCATAATGTAGCAAAGCTGTAAGCGCCACTATTTGACTGCAAGGCATGGATAACAATTGCTATTGTCCGGTAAAGTTAATCTACTGTAAAATTACTAATTTTCACTGGGTTTAAATTTCGCTGATTTATCATTTCAGGCATATTCAGTGGGTTTTAAATTCACGGTTTGATTATTTTGATAATGTGTTCTACGCTAAATTTTACATATTCACTGAGTTTTAATTTATCGCATTTTCCAGTCAGCGAAATAAGCAAAATTAAAACCCAGTGAAAAATTAATCCTTTTACAGTAACCACTTAATTTCCACCAAAATGTTGGCGCAGCATTTTACAAAATTTTTCAATAATAATTTTTTTTTATTTTTGGGCCAAATGCCAAATACATGTATCATTTAAAATATCCAGCATACAATAAATTTTTATTTATTTGTGTATTTTCAGTTCTATTGGAAATGCGTTTCTAATAGAGCAAAACCGGTACTCATGATTTTCTTGATGAAAAAATTATTAATATGAAATAAACATGCATGCTAAAAGCCCTACAGTCGTCATGCAGTGCGCGTTTAAATTCTGCATAATGTATTTTACACACATTGTATATGTCGTTATGAGACCCTTATCAAACATTACGCGATGCGATGACAGTACTGCTTTAATTTGTGAGTGTTGGCAAAAGTTTACTCTTATGGTCAACGGTTGAAGAGACGCTTTCACACTAGCAATACTAGCACCACCCACCATTGTTTAAAATAGTTATGTCACTAAATTTTTTTGAAAAAGATTTCCTGTTTTCAGTTTGAACACAGCACGAAGTGCATCTTGAAGACAGCGGTAAGATTTAAAAACTTTTCTGCTCAGGAATATTCATAGAGAACAGCTAATATCACTAACAAACTTTACAACAATTTCCAACTAATATTGTAATCTGATTAAAATTTAATTATTATTTTTTTTTTTATTTATGACTATTTTTCTTGGTTTTATTTGATATTATTAATTTTTTTAAACATTTAAAATAATATTTAATAATTTTTAGATTTCATATAAACAAATTCATAATTATTATTATTACACTGTCAATGGAAACTAATATTTATTAATTTTTATATTTTCTGAAGCAGGTCATACTTTGTGTATAAAGGTGGGAGCTGATAACCACAATCTTGAAAACAAGTACATGTCGTCTGCTCCTGATAAGAATGCAACAACAAAGACAACAATTTTGATAATTGGGGTACAAAGAGACAATTTGTGCATTCTTTCTTAATCCTAAGTCAAACACAAGATGGACTTTATTCAAGCTGTACATGGTGCGATTTTGAAAACATCAGGCGATAACAATAAACCATCTTGCTGTCTGAACTAAATCATAAATATTCAGACAAAAAAGTTACAGCCACCAGCATTGCATTCTGGGTACAAAATAATTACAGTTACAGGTTGCTTGGCAACCGATAATGCAAATACGTTCCCCACTATCTAAACATAGCATTTCGGTTGAAACACCATCAGCAATGTTTCATGTTGAGTGAAGAACTATACGTTGCTGAAGCGGATGACGATTTGACAGCACGACAAAAGAGACGAGATGCAGGTTTTTCATGTTGAAATGTGACAGTTTGTTTACAAAGAGATTAGAACAACAAAACATGACTGATTCATACAGAAGGTATTATAGTGCCGGGGATTTAACATGTATGGATGAAATATTGTTAAGTGACCACGGGGATTTCACCTCTATGGGGCTAACCAAAGACGTCAAAGAAACGAAGCGTGCTAGCTGTTCAGTTACAATGGCGAAATAACCCCCAGCAGTCTGAGGCACGTTGGGTGAAGACGGCAATTCAAATTAAAAAATGAATAAAAAGAAAATTTACAATTTAAATTGGACATAAATGAATATCTGGTCTGACTTAACAGCAACAATTATGTTATAAACTTAGGCATGGCAATACATCTGACACTGGAGTTTCCTAAAATGTTTGGATAAACTATTGCATATGACTCAGTATGAAGAGTGGTATTAGCACTAGTTTTCGAATTAAGAATCTCACTGTTATGTATTTTGACTGATTTTCACTTCCCAATGATATTTAATATTAATAACAACTACATGTATGGAGAAATCCCAAAGTCATTACTATCGGTATATAATGGGGAATATTCATTTCACTAGGTATAATTTTAGTGGATTTGATGTTGCAAGATATTCACTGGATTATGAAGAAAACAACAAATTTTATTTTAAATATTTGTGCAAAAATACAAACCCAGCAAGTATTTACACCCTATACAGTCTTTCCATGGAAACAAGTTTGGATTCCGTTAACTCTTTTTTTCAAATCTATATTATCGTTTATTTGCTAGAACCTTTAACTCGGCAAAATATCAAAAACTTGAAGTGCTTTTAAATCTTCTATATTTTTACTACTTTAGTTAGGCGTGAACATTGTTTTATGATTAGGTTGAGCAGTTTAATATTCGATTTATTGTTGAAAATACTTTTTTGGGAGGAATATAGTATTCTTCCCTCGTCTGCGAAGCCTAGGTTAACAAATTTGAAATATATGATGAATTAATCTTATTTTTGTGTTTTATGTTAAAAAATGTGTTTCTTTTATGTTGAATTCTGTTTTATAATGTTTATTAATGTAGAAAAGACTGTTAGTCAGCTGTTTGCAATTCAAGGTAAGCTTGTCATTGCCTGGGTGTTTCAATACTGGTATCGCCTGCAATTCAGAATTACTTTTTTCGGTTTTAATTAAACATCGCCCAGTGAATATAAGTACTGTGGGCTTAAAAGATTTGTCTGCAATAGTTTGTCCTTGCCATTCGCTGTTTATTTTTAATCAAATCTGTGAGAAAAAAAAACAATTTGGAGATTCCTGGTCAGGTTTGTTTTAACTCGCTGTATCAATTGACATTGGCTTAAAATAATATTTTTTTAGTAACTCCACAAAAACGGGCAATTTTGACAATCACTCACAATTGCTGATGAGGATAAATATGAAGGAGAGCTCGGTATTTAAAATAGAAGCAATCTGATGTACCGTATGTTTGTGTAAAGATAAGTTAAAATCTACAAAATACAGTCTGAGTTTCTACTAGCAGGGAATCTTTGTGTTTTCCAAGGTCTGCGAGATCCCTACAAACATCTCACATCTTAGAAAGCGCATGGATTAGTGAAGACCTTTATAACCAAAATTAAAATCAATTATCAATATCAAAATTAATCTTGAAACTAGAAATTAAATCAGTAAAGTCAAATGATTAACCTTCGGGTGCCACATATGTTCCTAACAAAATGTTAGTGCAATACTTTGCACATGTATATGTATTTTTCTATATATATTTTTATAAAATTGTGGACCAAATAAGCATAATTTCCTAATGGCAACAGGTTTTGGTCAAAATTTTAGAAAAAATATGAAAAAAAATTATGTGGGTGTTATTTTGTGAATTGTGACAAAAGTTGACTTTGATGCTCAAACAATGACTATAGAGTCAACATTTGTACTGTATTGAATATTTATTCCATTGTACAAAGGAGAGACACAAAATGTGCTTTGTATTTTTCCCCATTAATTGCTCAAAAATGAATTAAATTTCATTTATACTACAATTACAAAAACTCTGACTGTGCTACAATGAAACTCTGACACCATATATGTGCATGTGCAGTCCTTTTAATAACTTTAAAAAGAATTTTAAAATATGGATTTGGGTTTTATTTGAGCTTGGCATTCTTATACTATTCTGATGAAAAATATTATACTACAAACTGAACATGGAGCAGGGTTCTTCCCAGGCCATTATAGAGTATGGGTTCCTACTTTAATTTCCGAGAAAACAATAGAGCCAATTTAGTATAACAATGAATACAATAAAGGTGATTAACATACTCTATTGTTATGTATATTGGCCAATACTCTATGCTTTTTTTCTGGGGAGATAATGTAATCAATGTTAGTGATGGCTGGTTTTTGCAATTCAACTGTTGGACAACAAAGTGAATGCTTACTTATGAAGTGGAATAGTTGCATTTCGGGGAGTAAATGCGAGTTGAGACAGGAAAGCGAAAAGACACAGATCTTCATACCAGGAATGGTAATAGAAATAAATGTGTCAATCGCTTGATATTATTGAATAATGAATTATTAAATAATGAAAATATCACTGACCTTCTGGAGCTGTGTGGAATGATTTTTCTTCCGATATTAACATCGTTCTTGCCTGTGTTCCCATGACATACAAAAGCTCGGGCTCCGCCATCTGCATCACACCTAGTAAAAAATTTGCTTTGGTCCAGTATTTTGAGTTCAAAAACCAGTGCCACGTTTCGGATATTTCTTTGTCAACGGTACTGGGATTAAGTGCCCTGTCACCACACATGTCTGCTTGGTCACCTTTCGACGCAGGGTTTGTTCGAGATCTTGCATAGGTGAAATCCTTGCACAGTAATGGTTTCAGTAGCCCAATGATGTATCGTATAAGATCAACACTTCGGAATCTCCTGACCAGACCTAGGACAAACCGTCGTTTAGTATATTCCCCAGCACGAAGAAACCATTCTCTAGTTGTGGCCAGTTTAGCACCAAGTTTGCACGATTCGCACTCGCCACACGTTGTCGCCATTCCACTGTAGACACATCGCAGCTGCAGTGCTTTCCCTAGGTTGAACTCAAAGTTTTCTGAATTTTCAGATGGATGCTTCATGACTGTTATTCTTAAAGAGTGCCCTGTTAACGACCTGTCAGCATTCCGTTTCCACACAATTTTGAAAATTTAGAAGGCCGTGAGAGGCAGACATAGCTGCAGAGAAATGCCCAAGTTTACCAACTTAATCCCCTCCATTATGCGAGAGGGCTCAGGTTTTGTGAACACGTTGGCGCTGTCTTTTCCGGGGATTAATTACCTGAAAGGAAATCATATATAAGGATTGTTTAACAAGAAAAACCTGTGCACGGTAAACATAACTAATATTTACTCTAATTAATAACTATCGGTCCGTTATATACGTTTATATCTTCGTAATCGTGATAGCGTTTGAGCGAGTGATATTGATACCAGCGTGGGACAAAGTCATCGTCGAAGTGAGTGTTCAAGGCAACCGTACGACAAGCAAGTGAAAACGCCACCGTGCATAGATCCACACACAAGTTTTGAGTACATCACCTTTTGCGGCAACCTAGTATTATTCGTGGATCGTTTGTCTGGAGTGCAGTCCACCAAAGCCTATTTATTTAGCGAGGTTAAACACGTATTTTTCACACGTTTCTGTGTCTCCAAATAATGCAGTTTATCTGACAAAGAGGCGAATATTTAAGAGATTCGAACGCGGCGGGATTAACTAGTTCCGCCATTGCTAATCAAATAAGGGTGTCTTACTGTGTCTGTGCTATCAACATGTGTAACAACATTGAATTGTTATTTCAAAACTGCGAAAAGCCTCGCATGGGGTACGGATTCAACTGTAATTGGACTCACAGATTCACTTGTTTATATACTCACCGATGTCGTCTAGTGAGGAGAGTAATATCTACGCGATCTTTTACTGACAGCGTAGGAACAAGCCAACTGTAAATGAGAAAAGTTGGACGGGCCGAGTGTTCGTTCGTTCGATGAATGGTTGACACTCAGCTAGTATGCAAATCTGTTACCAAGGGCGACTAGATCGCTTGTGTTGTTGTTTACATTACGTGTTATCTATTTCAAACGACCAATTGCAGCGTGGCGTGTCGCTCTTCTGACAAGTCGTAAAATTTGACCAAAGCGACAGGTTTCTTGAGGTCTATCTTCCGGGGATATGAAAAGATTTTTTTAAATAGAATGTCGTTCTGGAACGCGGTTACGGAATTAATGGAGGGCGCGTTGAAAGTTTAACGGCGCTCTTCCGTACTGCTTTGCCTAGATCATCGACAACCCCTATGACGAAATGTAGAAATAAAATACAATTTTCAGTGTTCTAACAATCATCGATTTCTTATTTCAGTAGATTCTAATATCCTGAAGCATTTATTTTATGATAGAAATGCCGTAATTGCCTGACATATTTATTCAACAAACTTCTAATGTTTGTTACTGTGAGCTTGTTTTATTAAGTTAAGTTACATCTCAGACAACTAGTACAGTTTTTGATTAGTTGTCTGAGGTTACATAAATATCGCGCGAATGGAAAACAATGTGACGTCCAGGCCAGTCCAGTGTAGTCTGACCTATTGTCCCCAGCCACAAAGGGAATTGCCACATTGTGTCAGTGTTTGGGTTATGTTCAAGGTAAACCCATTCATTGTATAAACGATACTATTACTCTGCCCATTATTCAATGTTTTTAATTTGTGAACTACATGGTATTTGTTGGTGATTGACTTTATTATCTCAAACATCGCGGGAGCAGGTGGCAACGCAGAGCCGCAGGTGAATCCATGCCATAAACAAAAGTGTAATGTGTGGCTGACACTTGGTGGCGCTTTACTGGAGATAATTGGAAACAGACGGAATACAGTATGGACAATCTGAACGGATTCAGCATCTGGCGGCTAATTGCATATTAATATGGTTTAATATATTAATTCGTCGTTATGCAAACTAAATATGCAGATTGTTGTAAGAGAACGTTTGTACAATATATCATTTTAATAGAATTTATGATTTCAAATTAACATCCAAGTGCATTTTCTACACTTAGCAGATTTTATGGTAGTATCACATTTTGTTGTGGTCTTAAATTAAATTAGCCCAGTGCCTAAGACATGTGATTATTACTTAACTTGGAGTTGGGATATAAAAAATTATGTTCTTTGATATGCAAATTAAAATAATTATTTATACGATTCTGAGTGAGAACTGGCCTTTCTAGCTTCTCCACAACTACGCTCCGGAGATCGGCGCAAAAAAAAAAAAAAAAAACACGCCCAAATTATGACCCAGTGTTAGAGCGTACGTACATGTTTAATTTCATTCAACATGCCGTATCCAGGATTTCATGCGTTTCATCTGCCAGACAAGCATGGGAAAAATGTATTGGCTGTTTGTAGTAACAATTCATTAGACAGCGTTATTTTATTTTTATTCCCAAAGTATCGATAACTGAATCGACTTTGGAGCTCTTTTGTGAAAACAACACGGGACACTAATCGGGAATTTTGAACACAGCACGACATGCAGTAACGACCACTTCTTTTTTACTTGTAAATGCATATCGGTTATGTGTTTATAATACTGACAGTAGAGGGCGCTATACAAGAATGGATTGGTATGCGGGACGATGTGAAGTATCACATGTTTAGGAAAAAAATGGTACAGAATTTAATGGCCGACATGATCCCACAAATGAAAATAACTTGAAGGACTGTATTTCTTTACAGCATTCAGGGTTTACAGACTTATTTGCCCCAAGAACCCAGAAAACGCCCTATATGGTAGTACATGTAATTTCTTTTCAAATTCATTCACAGTTCACACAGGTGGCAGACAGCAGTATTTTTTTATTTGAAAAATCACGTGTAAATTCATATCTGCTGCACTAGTCTATAAATCTTCTAAAACATGTCTTAAAAACTTTAAAATAATATATAAAACCATGACGATTTGTTTTGTTTTTGACTTTGTTGATATCATTGAAATTTGGCTCCACTTGCAAGACATCTGATACTCAAATAAAATCCCATAAACACAAATTTAATGATTTATAGGTGAAAATCATATTTTCTTGAAGGTCACATTAAGGTCACCGATTCCTATTGAAGCCAGTAAGTATCAAATAGCTGCCGACATTACTATTTTTTTTTTTTCAGCGTGTTTTCCACTGAAATTTCATTTATCCTAAATTTCAGTGGGTAATAACTGACCCCCACCAACTCTCCCAGAGCTGCACATGTTAAAAATCCCTCACAACACATTCTGCAACTTTTTATTACGATGACAAAGTTTTTTCAATATCTGAGAAATACACATCTTCATCAACCACGTTAAAGTTAGCTGATGCCACACCCCTATACTTCTACATCTCAATATTGTGTTCTATCCCCATTGCTATGAGTTGCGCCAACTCTGATTGGTCGCATATAATCAGATCTAAAGTATTTTACTGAGGTCCAATACTAGTGATCTTGGTAGAATCATGTAAGGAGTTTGTAGGGGGGAGTAGATTTTTGAATTCTGAGATATACCAGTGTTCTAAATTACTCCGACCCAGGCTGATGAAAATTTAAACTTACATGCCCAGTGATCTGGTAACATTTTCTTCATGGTCTGCTTCAATTACATTTTTGAAAATACAATTCCACTAAAAAAATAATCTTGGATGAAGTTGAGCGCCACCCAACTCTTATATAAGGATTATAAAATGAAGAACACAATAATTGGGAAAATCTGTTTTGCATGTTAGCTGATTGTTATGTTTTTCCAGGATTGAGCTCTGGGTATCTGTCCTGCCTAAGAAACCACAGATGCTCAAAAGGTAGCTGATGTGATTCTCAGAGTTCTCAGATTAAGATGAAATACCACATGCATCATTCATACCATTGTGGTCTTTGTCTCCTGCTAATTAAAGTGGCTTGGTTTGCCCAATTGGAATGGAAGCATTCGAAAATAATCTTTAATACAGGGCTGGTAACTTTCTGGCAGCGTTGGTCAGGGTTCTCCCCTGCAGACAGAGAGTGCTGGACGGTATGAATATTCATGAGCTCATTAATATGCATGAACTCATTAGTATTCAAAATGGCCGCAGGGAATGAGTATTTCTTTCAACAGGAGTCAAAACACTAATGAGAACACAGGTGAAATTTGAAAGTTTTTGCCCTGGTATCTGGTACACAATTTTGAGAAATTCCAAACGCAGGAAAACCATGGTTTGCTTAAATTTGTGTGGACTATGATAAATATTTTTTGAAATGAAGCAGATATTAGATTGGACTACCAACAGAAGACTGCAAAACTTGATATAGGTGATGAAAGGGTTTAAAAGTTAAAAAACAAAGTTTGTGATCAGTTTGTCAACAGGAAGCTATCAACTCGTGAAATTGCACCATGGAAATATTGTAATTTGTCATGGTATTATCTTCATTATTTAAATTTAAGTGATGCATTCTCTTTTAATGACAAGGAAGACTGTTTATTACACAGGAACTCGGAACCGACTAGAGTCAGTAAATGCACTATCAGGTCATCGTAAACTGTCACAGTCATCATAATATACTCGTTTACCGGTAGTCCCTGTTGGTCTTGGGACTTCTAAAAATAAAATAAAAATTACAAAATTAATATTGGATCCGTGGAGTATTTGCACCGAATATCACTTTTTAACAACTGTGTGTTTTACTGTTAATATTGTTATGCACCAATTTCGATGTAGTTGCAATTACAGCTATGTAATGGTCACTGTGAAAATAATAATCTACACTAAATGCAATATTAAGGTTGAGTCTCCTACCTGTAGGACAATCTTTTTGCAGGTGAATATCCCCATCAACAGTTGAAGCAATACCATAGGCCAGCATGCTAGCTGCAGATATGAAAAACAAGACATTGATAAGATACAGTCCAGAAACTAGTAAACAAAATAATGCAATAGTAAACAATACTTTGTCAACAATTTTGAATCAGAATGGAATGCATGTCAATAACATGATGTATTATGTGTAAAGTTTAAAATTGCAATATGGCATGATAGGGAAATGGCTCCACTATAATAGCATTTTTCCGAACAAAATGTCCACCAATCAGCCATTTTAAATCTGTTTAGTCAAACAAAATGACGGGAATCAAGGTTTTAAGATGTTCAATGCATATACTTGAACAAAATTTGTCCATGAGTAGACAAAAATTGGTTCTGGAATTGCAGAAATGTCCATTTTTTATGTTTTTAGCATTAAATGGCAGCCATTTGGCCATCTTGAAAGTGGATTGTGAAATGAATGCATGTGCATATGTGTGGTTTGAAACAAAATGGATGCCAGTCAGCCATTTTAAAAACTGACCATAAAAACACAATAACACCCCCATTAAGTTTGAACAGAATCTGTCAATGCATGACTGAGATTCATGTTCAGAAGGGCTGAAATATTCAATTTTGATGTATCTTAAAATTTGGCCATTATGAAACATATGTATGTGCATTATGTATATGACGTTACGTATGTGTGAAGTTTGGTCAAGTCATGTCAGAGATACCAGTGGATTTGTTAAACCAAATGATCTGTAAAAGAAAAACCTTCATAATCCTGTTATAAATTTTAAATGACGGTTGAAAATAACAATGGAGATGAATACTCATCATGAATATTACATAAACATAAATGTTTTAAATTTAAAAGTTTTGTGCGAAATTGTAGTAAAAATACAACTTGTAATATTCAATGTATATTCTGTGAACTATAAGCCTCAAGTGTTTTGAGTATACAATAGATAGGATCTATTTCCTACTTTACGATTGAGAGAAAGACGCAGTATGTATGAGTCCCCTCAAGCCAATGAAAATGTTTTCTGCAGATTTGAATGTGGAACGAGTTCTTTAAGGCTCCCTAGGCACACCACTAACTGAACCCTAAAACACCAGCTTTCAATGTAATTGAATATGCCTCTGAAGAAAAGTATATCCAATTGCACTGGAGGGATCGGGTTAGGAGTACAGTTATGGGTGAGGGGTCCCCAAGGATGTCTTCACTTGAAAGTGACATAGGGTACTAGTAAATGTTTTATAAACTTCCATAAAAAAAAATTTCAGTGTATTCATTAAATATACACAATTACATAAGATTGATAAACAGATTGACAATACTGTGTTTCCCCGGTCGCTGCCCCTCACGGTACCCTGCAAGCTCAGTACACCATCATAGCATATCTGTTATGCACGGAACAGAGACGGAAGAATATACATACTGCCACAATGACCAAGTGTACATGGACTGCGGATTACGGATGATGGTGTGTATATGTCTCCGACTACCATCCTCGACACATACACAGTGCCTGTACGCAGGGACATTGAAGCGGTAGAAAGAAAAGGACATGGGGTTGGCGGTTAATACATACATTACAGCTATAACCACGTTGGTCATTACATGACCAGGGACACCACACTTTCATAAAATTAATAACAAGTGAGATACCCATTACACTTTGTAATTTGTCAAAATTCCTATATCAAGCTTTTAAGTTAAGGTCAGAGGCACTAAAATTATCCTCTTGATGGGCAGTATTTTATATTACAGTTAATTTATGTATTTATGTATTATTATTTTTTTCAAGAAATGTAAATTTGAGACTGTGATGGGCCGGTGGCCTAGTATGGCAATAAAGTTTATTCTTCGTTAATACATACTTGATACTGCGTGTTCTTGCACTGGGCTCGGTTTTCTATGGAAAGTGTATCCTAGTGGTAACTCCAGAGTTTTTCGGATTTTACTCATGAAATATTTGTTTTTAACTTCCATCGTAGAAAACACACGGAGAAAATTAGGAACTATGCCACCTTCGAGTACTAACGGCACCAGGCGATCACGATTTTCTTTGCGGTTCTCCTGTAAATATTTTTCTAGTGCGTTGAGTCCTTCGAAATAACTAAGTTCGCTGGTGTTCGTATGGTAACTGAGAACCACAAACGTCCTTCTACTGACAGTCAGGGCTTCTTCGAGATTGTCAAAGTCGTAGACGCCCAAAATGGAATCTCTTTCCTTGAAATATCCACGCCTTGAAGGATTTGATGATTCTATCTCCTCGACGAATTTTTGCACCCAAGGCAAGTCTCTATCGTGATATAGCATACAGAAATCAAATTCGTATTCGGGTGGTTTTATTTCCTCCGGCTTTGGCCTGTGCGCTGCCATTTTACCGACAACTTCTTCCGGGTGCATGTCTATTGCACTCAGAGGGCGCTGTAACTTAAACATATCTTCTCAGCTTCAGCTACAGTTAGATTTGACCATGTGCGCTTGAATCAATCATATGGAAATTAGCCCTAGACTTGTATTAGGCTTATTTGTTTTTTCATTTTTTTTAAAATAATAATATGTGAGTATGGCGAAAACTGGTTACCGCGAAACGAACAACAGTAAATAGTTATAGTATATCATATTATATCGTATCTAATTGGGTTCTTAACATTGACAAATTCCTGCTTCTTTATATAGGGAGGACAGATACAATATGTGAATGAAATTGACCGATCATATCCAGCTACAGAACTGGCGCCACTCATCGCCTTATCAGGAGAGAGGGCGAACCTTCTAACAATAAAATGCCTTCTCGATAATTTACATGTAATGTCGGGCGCATTTGTATATGATTAATATGAAGGTAGACAATATATATTGTTTTATACCAAAAACTCTTTTGTGGAGCTCTTAGTTCGATCATGGGTCATTCAGTTGTCTGATTGTTCAATATAACCAGACTTAGCTATTGCACCCATTTATTAATTTCATAATTACGGTCACAAAAGGCGAAAAAACAATTACAGGAACCAATTTATTGAGACACCATTTTTTAATGAAATTATCATAAACCTTTGAGAAGAGGGATTGGAAACTTAGGCAAAACAACAAAGGAAATCGGAATGTTTACTGTTCGAGCTTAGTTATAGTAACTGTAATTTATAATAAATAAACTTACAGTCGCCATACTTGTTGAAACAATGTCATTTTGGAAAACAACGATCCTAAATTGAGATAACTCGTCATTATTGGCGTTATGTTCATTAATAAGTTATTTAAAAACTTAAAAAAACTCAAGGGTTTGTTACTACTTTTACCAGACCCCAAAATGTAATATACTTTGCATATTAGTCATATTTGTTGACCTGGGGAAGATTCGGGAAGAAAATCAGCTGCATTTAAATTACTTATTTAGTCTAAGTAATATAATTCTAGCCCAATTTACGTCAAAAGAATTGTCCAGTTTCTTCTTCTTCTTCTCTATACAATAATGTATCAAAATAGTTTTTAAAATGTCAATTTGTGCACTGGGTAAAACAAACAAAGGTTGCTGCAGCAGGGTCCTTTCTATAGGCAATTACCCTCAACCATGGGGAATATGAAGCATGGGAATTCATTTGGCGTTTGTGAGTAATAGGGTTTATTGCCGAATCAGTCTACGTTGCGAGTATAATTCTCAGTTTTACTGTTACAAAACACTGGTCCGCCATATTGTTGTACACTGTGACTCATTAACAAGTCACGTTATATAAATAAATAAATAAAAAATACATACCCACATATACCTTTGACTTCTTGGAATATACCTTCCCAGTGAGTCGTGCCCTCGAGCGCGCCCTCAATGTTTCTGTGACGTCAAAATGACGTACATGTAGACTGGTGTAAAAATTGTCGGTTAAATATACAATTCTCTGCCCTCTGTCGCAAAGTTGATCGTCATTACAATATAACAAATCTCTAAAATGAGTATTTTTATTTATTTATGGACGGGCAGTTCAAAACAATACATACGCTGTCACGGTGAATGGGGTCTCTCACTGATTAGCGTAGTATAAGCGCTTCGTCACCAGCTAAATTATTTTCCTGATTAATTTATCTTCGTAATTAACGCACTTTGTGATGTTCGTGTTATCGGTGTAGTATTAGAGAATTCTCGTCATTTTCTGTGTCTTTAGTTCCCAGTGCCCTGTTCGCGCCCTCTAACGACAAAGCGCTCTGTGATGTCAAAATGACGGAGATGTCATTTGTGCAAGCAGCGGTGTTCAAATCGACATTAGATAGATATTTCGTAATTGTATTGACAGACGACCACAGGTCAAACAAAATACTATCTGTGGGTGGCCACTTTGTACCTCAACCAATTACGCCAGGGAAGCGGATCATCGCCGGAGGGGGGCGGACATCCGGGAATTTTCACCGTCTGGCAACCATCACGGTGAAAACAAAGGCCGAACATTCTCAGAAAACGGTACTTTGGGATGGTTGTTGAGACTGCCCTGTACAGTGTACATTACCCGCGTGTGTAACATATATAAATTCGGTTGTTCAGGATTACTTCAAAGTTGATTTTGTAGAACGTAGAACGTTCTGTGACGTAGCTCCGCCCCGAGGATTAAATACTATTTTACAGTATAGCAGATCATAGTGTATGGACAATATAAACAAAACAGACAACTTTGTTAAGAAAAATACGTTTTACTCATCATTATTAACATTTTCAGGTATTGATTGACCAATTTCGACAAGTATGGAATTTACCTTCACGGTGACAGTAAATAAACGCAACGTGTTTCGGTCACACATCACACAGATACGTTAATAAACTACTTAATGATATAAAAAAAAACATGTCTATAGAGAGTAGAATTCAAAATGTAATTTCACTTTTTTTATCAATAAGTTTTTGTTATTCTCTCTGCAAGTTACACTGTGCATTAGTTAACTGGTGGAACTCGGGAAGCGTCTCTACTTGGTATTGCTTCTTATTTTATTTTCTGCAAGCGTGTTTACCAGGACACCGGCGCAACACGGTTGTGCCTCCCGTGGGTGGACACCCGACGAGAACATATGATGTCACAGCGCCCTCTACTCGTGAAATTTGCCAGAAATAGTGTTGTTAGAAGGCATATGCGCCAATGTAAAACCCGATTATGTGCTTGATTATAAAAAAAAACATACACACAGTGTTCTTACTTTGTTCATCACGGGAGGTTGTGAAAAACACGACCGGCAGGTCAAAACATGAATCTTATGCTGGTGATGCGTACAAGTAACGCACAGTTTCCCACTCCATAGAGTTGTAATATAAAAAGCCCCAGTACAAATTCATTGGTCATTGGAGACTACGGTGGGTTGTTATGCGATGCCCGAAATATAGCTGTCACAATTACCCTGACATAGCCACATAAACAAATGACGAACAATAGTAAAAACATTCACGTCAGAAACGGTCAGAAACATCAGAAACGATACTGAACAGTCGGCACAATACACCAGACGAATAAACTATGTGGATATTTTTAATTGAAGTAGAGCACTGTTTTAAACATCGTGTCACGGATTCATAGTGAAAATCAAGTGTTTATGTAGTCAGTACGTGATTCGACCCCAAAAGTTAGGGTTATCACATGCTATGATTATTATTGTTATTGTCTCCTGATTTCCCACTACTCTTCACGTCACCGTTACGTACAGACGTCTTTAATCAGAGACGAAAATAAATAGTTAGTTACTTCCGAGGAACTTGCATAGTTGCTAATTGTGTGGCTTTCTCGGTGGTTAATTTATTCCGTCTTTTGATGCCACAGAATTCCATGACGACAGCTAAGCACCTAAAACGCGTTTTCTGTTTTTACATTAGTGAAATGTACACAGCAATTTGCAATAAGGCACATGGAAGTGAACAACACGAACGTTGCCGTGGCGACAGAGATGGCATACACAATACCATAGGTGAGAAACCACTCGTTGTCAATATCCTGGTGCAGGTCTGTCAAAACTATGACCAGCCCTTCATAGAGTCGGCTTTCTCCTGAATCGTCTTCGACGTTGGGGTGATGGAAATAGTCTGTAGTGTGATGGTAGATCTGTCCTAGCTCGATATCGGATACCACTTTCGCCGTGTTTGGGCCGATTGAGATGTAGAGCTGCAGGAGGAAAAACGAAATACGCCAGTAAAATATTGTTGCAGGTGAAGATAATAATCAGTGTGTTGGATTTTGAGACAGATTAATTTAAAGTACAGATCGTTCACTATATTTCCATAGGCAATTCTTCTAAATTTTAAAATAATTAATCATCAACCTATCCTATAAATCGCGCCCTCTGGTGTCGAAGAATTTCAAATATAACGTAAAAAGGCCGACTGGTGGTCATTTTGTTTGAAAGAATACCAGAGCTATATCTCGACATGTATGTTCATGTTTAAACTTCATATATATTTTTTAAACTTGATAACTGCAGGACACTTGTTATTTTTCTTGTAATTGACTAACATAATGAGCCAAAGAACATATAATTACCTCTTTCTCGGTAAATGCGTAGAACACGACTGCGTTGTCCTGACACTCTTGACCATCAAACCACTCTCGTCTCAACTCCTCGGCGAAGTCATGCGCCCTCTCGCGGTCTGGAACATAACTAAAAGTAAGAGAAGAAAAACATGTATAAGGTTTATGAATACCGCAAAAAATGCATAATTAAAAATATTGAAAAATATGGAAGTTGGTTTCACTCAAAAATACAAATATAATGCAAATGCAGGACGCCCTAGATACTCTATGATAAACTTGTACGAGAGCGCCCTCTTGCACCGCACCAAAACCAGTTCACAGAGGGCGCTGAATATACAAACGTAAAGTTTTTTCCAATGAATTTTGTCAATATATTAAAACGTATATTTGCACGACGTCCTACACTTTCATGGCAATCAATTACAAATAAACTAGATTTCATTGGGATTAAAAATAACTTGGAATCAAAGGTAACATCATGTAACACTAAAATATGCATGCAGTAACACGGGATAAAAGTAACGCAAGAAATCACACGCACGCGGAGGAGAAATGTCGGTCACACGGTGTTGCAAGGAGTTTACCAAAAAATGGCGCAATATGATAAAATATTATAAAAATAATTATGATAATAATAATGAACGAGGATAATGTAAATTTCAATGAGTCGCCAACTCGCCTGGTCCTATTCTTGCTCGTTAGCTCACTCCCCCAAAGACTTACTTCTGGAGATGATCTGATTGGCGGAAATAAACATCTGTTACAATACAGTACACTGCGACTTGGGCAAATACGCGTTTGCGCCCAGTCAGTGTGCGCGGGCATGATGTTAACCTTAGAGTGTTAAAATGGCAACGTTTCCACGAAAAAACTTAATTATTTTCTGTAAAAAATCGGACATGTTTGGGGTCAAGGTTGATCGTAATTCCGGTGCGTTTTTTTTTCTCGTAAAATGGGCATGTTTGCAGCTAGTATTTTTGGCGCATCAAAATTAGTGATTAACCACATACTTTCTGGACAGGGTAATAACATATGCAAGTCACATACATTCAGAGGCATGAATTAGGGCGATACATACGCAGAAACAGCGTAAGCAATTGCGAGGTGGAGAAAAAAACAGCGGACACAGCTGTTACCCCGCTGTTACTGAGTAATCGTCCGTTCTCATAATATAATGCATGCACGACTCTATGATGGGACTAAACGACATCTACCAAACTTTGAATTGGCAAATACAAGACACGCCACGTTTTATGTTGTTTGAATTGTACCACCCTGTTTATTACCCATAATTCAGGCCATTCGACTATTCCCGTAAAACACTTGTATCTTTCTGTATAGACTGTATAGACTGTATAGACTGAAAAGCGCAACGACAGTGTTCCCTCGTCAGTAAGGGGCCACAAATAGTGGTCTCGGAGGTGTATTGAACATAACCTCAGGAATATTCATATAGAAACTCCAAACACCACGCGTATTCATGATAAGGAGATCGTCCACTTTACTTTTAGAGGTCGACGGAATATTTAAAGGGCGGCAGTCGTCGTGCCGCGTCCTGTTCGATATGGGACTCATAGCGACGTATACAACGCGTGTAAAATACATTGTTTATTTACATGAAATTGGAACACGCGCTGCGCGACGACCACCGCGCTTTAAATTATCGGGATGACTGGAAGAAAGTGATCAGTGCGATTTTTTTCACGATGTCTCGTCAGTACACTTTTATTTCTAAAATGTGTCAATACATTTTTCTGCAACATCTGCCATGCCATTTTTTTCGCGGGGTCTACTGAGCTTGCACATTTTCAATTCAACACATCTTTCAACCATCTTTATAATTAATATGGAGATTGCAGATCACTCTAGTATTCATATGCAAATTGTAAACTTCACCTGTCACGTGATCGAATGGAGATTCAATGTAAGAAAAAGAGCGATATATATTCTCTATCCTTCGGTTAAAGGTAAAACAGAGAAACTGACAGCAAGTTATTTTTTCAATTATCGGGCAGGTGTGTCAGGTCAGACAGTTTTCTTACTGTATCTATCCCACCGTCCATCTTAATTATCTTGCAAGACGTTCACAAATGAACTTAAATATTAAATTCTCCATATAAATCAAAACCAGAATAGACATCGAAGATACACAACCGCAAGCAGGTTAACGCTGTTACTGAAGCGGGAATCTCTTTTAATGTGTACGAGACACGGACAAGGCAAATGATGTCACCAGCCCCGAGGAGATTAATTTTTTTATGAAAAAAACAAAAACAAAAAGGTGCCATTTTGAGAACTAATTTAATTCAAGTAACTATAAAGTGAATATAGGGGAGGTGTTATTTATCAGATTGCAGGCGTTTCGGGATGACAAGTGCACGGTGCCGTCGACACGCATAGAAACTATTGGATTCAGAAATAAAACTTCGAATATAATTTAAAACAATTGCAAATTTGTTGGAATAAAATGCGACGATCACTGCCCTTAACACAATAAAGCACAGCTGTGAAGGGAATATCACGATATGTTGCCTGCTTAATACGGAACGACGATGCTCCAGTCGCGCCATGCACGGCAGGGCGCGTCGGTTGTTTTTGTGATTAGACCACATTAAGGTCGATGTTGAAAACCGTGTGATTTACATATATATGAACATTTATTTCATATCGTCATCCACTGGAAACGTGACGTATGTCATCGTGATCAATTCTCTTGGTGATTGATTGTTATATCGTTTTTTTTTTTTTTCAATTTCGTTTTTCTCACTGTCTTTCTCTAAGAAATTTACAACCAACTTGAATTTGACGTGAGTAAACATAATTCCATGCCCGCAGCGTTGAGGTAAACCAAATATTCCACACGAATCCTAATAACAGCTATAGGCAACACAACTCCGCTTACAGAAGACATTTGGGATTGTATTTTAAAATCTCGATCACCGACTGTGACGTCAAGCATAATGACGCCTTGCAGTGATATTCAGCAGTTATATTTGCATGAAGTGTACGCACGTCTACTTGACAACGAAGCAAAAGACGATTTCGGGATTCGCAGCATTTATTGAATTTTGGTATCTATTAACATGAATTTTACTTAAGGTGATCATAATCAAACAAGCCAGTTTAAAAAAAGAAAACGTGAGTGGGGACAGAAGCAAAAAATTGTCAATTTATGCGATGAAATCTGAGCAGCAAAATGATTCTTAGCGGGAAGTGTGAAATCGAGCGGGAAAACCGCTACTGAATTCACGGCACGTTCCGATTCTACGGCCGTGCACCTGATAAACATCAGTGCGATAACTCAACCACTTTTTTTTTTTTAAAGAAAGCTTTTTTCTCTAGAAAATTCTCTCATGCTGTTGTCACTGCAGTTAACCCGTGCATGTTTTTAACAATCGAAATGAAAAAAAGCACTTTACTTGCCACTTAAAATCGCTGTTGTGGTCACGAAATTGAATGGCCGCCAATAACCCATTAATCTAGGTCAGCGCGCGAATCGGGAATTCAATTCGTGTTCGTTGCTTTGATCTTTATTTTCAGCAGGGGTTGACCATTCAAATCTCAGAAAGAAGACCGGATTTGGAGAATATTTACACAGAGAAACATGTGGGAGAGGGATTGCATGGGACAAATTACAGGTATATAAAATATTTGAAAAAAAAAAATATGATAATACACGAACATCATCCTGAGGGAAAATGGCGCACTGAACTAAGTGTTGGTAAAAAATAATTTGCACAACAGTTTGAACCAATTCCTCTCCCAGAATCGCTAATGTTCCACCCCTAAACTAGGTTTTCATTCGCGTTAAATGTAGTTTATAGTAGTGTGGACCTTTGCATGAACCTTCAGTGTTATCAAATTGATTCCTTTGTTACTTTGGCGTCTGACGTCATTAGCATTTGACCTGCGCACCTGCCATGTAAATTGGGAGACTACTCAGACAGAGGAATCGCGTTTTCCGGCATAGGGAGGGGGGTTCTACTGAACACGCTTACAACATAGGCTGACATTTCGCTACCAAAAAGCAACTGTCTCGAAACATAAGCAATATTTATTTAAGACGAGATTCGAAACAACCCAAATATACATTTCTCGTGAAAATTATACAGCGCCCACTAATTCAATCTGCGAGATGTTATTATATTTCAACATTTTTGTGGGGAATTAAATATAATTACAAATGGTGTTATTTTATATATCATCGTTAATACATAATAATGTTTCCAATCAACACATACCTCAAATTACAGCTGCAAATGTTAGCATACCAACTGTAAACCTAAGGCTGACCTTTAACCCTAACCCGACTATACAGAATTTTCGAAAACATACAAACACGTGGCATCAAACAATCGCCACGTTGTCTTCTTGAATAGTTGGCGGGTGGGGGGGTGATACTAATTCGTTTTCTCCGCTCGGAGAATCAGCTCAAATTATGTAAATTGTATGACACAACGCATCCATTTTGACCTTTGCCTCAACTGAATTCTACTTGGTTTCTCCCGGCACAAAGAGGGCGTAGAGGAGTCCTACAGAACTCGGAGTACAGTTCGTGAAAAACTGTGACTGCACAGAGAACATATGGCTGCAAGATGAAATAACAGTATATTTTCAGAAAGATTGAATTCGTAACCGAATACGGAACCAATGTTGTGTAGGTTCGGGATCGTTGTTTATCACTTTTTTTTTCTGTCTGAGAAATGAAAGCTTTAAATTTAACTAAACAGGTCAAAGAGTTGATTTGGTGATATAAATCTGACTATAATTAATGAGCAATTTGGCAAGCAGAGATGTAAGGGAATGTTGTGATGTCTGGTACACGTTTCAAAGTTCATCACAGTGAACGAGCCCTATACAGATAAGCCATATATACTGGGTCATTTTATGTCCATCTGCAAACACAACGCCGTCAACACCGGTAATGAAACCTGGATCCTTTTTTAATTCTGAAAATTCATAATTTTCGGGGGGGGAATCGACTATTCTCGCTTTAATTTCTAGATTTCTGCTAATATTTGCGGAGAAAATCAACATGACTGTGTTGATGTGTGTTATTACTACACGTACACATGGGGTGCTGAGTATGATAAAGACTGCCCTTGCAAAGCCGTTTTATGTCCATCT